GTGTGTTGAAGTCTCCTGCTATTATTGTAGAACTGTCAATTTCTCTTTTGAGTGCTGTTAGAGTTTATGTATTTTGGAGCCCTGTTATTGGGTGCATAGGTATTTGTTATGGTAATGTCTTCATGATGGATCATCCCTTTAATCATTATATGTCTTCTTTGTCTTTTATGGTGGATTTTGTTTTAAAGTCTACTTTATCTGAGATTAGTATTGCCAATCCTGCTCTTTCTTGTTAGCTGTTCGCTTCATATATTTTTTTCCATTCTTAGATTTCTAAGAAATTTATGTCTTTGTTTCTAAGCTGTGTCTCTTGTAGACAGCATATTGATGGCTCTTGTTTTTTTAATCCATTCTGTCACTCTCCCATCTCTTCATGGGTGCATTTAGGCCATTTATGTTCAGTGTAACTATTGATAGGTGTGAGTTTATTGTTGTCATTTTGTAGTGCTTTTTTTTTGTGGTGCTGATGTTTTCTTTGTTCCTTACTCTCCTGTGCTGAATTCCTTTTGTTCGTGGATTTTTTTTTCCATTTCTTTTGTTTTTGTAGATTTTATGTTTACTTTGACTTTATGTTTTTATTTTGATGAGTAGGTTTGTTAACTTTCTTTGCGGTTACCTTGAAATTTATCCTTATCTTCTTAAGTTTGAACCAGTCTTTTATTACTTGTATCGCCTTGCCTTCCTGTCCATTAGAAAGGTCTATACCTACACTATTTATTCCCTCCTTTATCGTTCTGATGTTGTTGTCATTTACAGATTAACCTCTCTTCTTTCCTGTTGTAAATCTTTTAGTTTTGATTAATCCTTGAGAGTTCATTACCTAGGTTGGTATCTGGTTAGTGCGGTCTTGCATCCTAGATTCAGGCTGTCATCTGATGTTGTTTGTTTCAAACCGAAGGACTCCCTTTAATAATTCTTGTAAGTTTTGTTTGGTTTTTACATATTCCCTTAATTTCTGTTTATCTGGAAATGTCCTGATTTCACCATCATATTTGAGTGAGAGTTTTGCAGGATATATTATTCTTGGTTGGTAATTGTTTTTTTTCTCAAGATTTTATATATGTCATTCCATTGCCTTCTTGCCTGCATGGGTTCTACTGAGTAATCAGAGCTTAGTCTTATTGTTTCTTCTCTGTATGTGACTTTTTATTTTTCTCGTGCTGCTCTCACAATTCTTTCTTTGTCTTTGGTTTTAGCGAGTGTGATTGTGATATGCCTTGGTGATTTTCTTTTGGGGTCTGTTCTATATTGGGTTCATTGAACTTTCTGGATGGTCAGCTTCTCATCTTTCATGATATTAGGGAAGTTTTCTGTCAGCAATTCTTCAATGATGCTGTGTTTTCTGTTTTCTGCCCCCTGTTGTGGAACTCTGATCACTCGAAAAATTTGCTTGTGATTTTATTCCACATCATTCTCAGGGTTTCTTCATTTTTCTTCGATCTTTTCTGTGATTTCTCCTCAAGAAGGAGGTATCTGTACTTGTCTTCAATTTCGCTGATCATGTCTTCCATTGTTTAAAACCTGCTTCTCAGAACTTCTATGACACTGTCCATTTCTGAAATCTTGTTGTTTATCTTTTGGATTTCTAATTGCTGTTTTTGTATGATTCCTATTTGTGAATTTATTTTAACATTTTTTCCTGTATTTTCTTGAATTCTTTTATTTTTTGGCTGTCTTTCCATGATTTTGTCTATTTTTTCCTCATTTTTGTCTGCCTTTTCCTTCAACTCTTGGATACCTCTGAATATTAAACATTTGAATTCCCTATCAGGTAGTTCCAGTGCCTTTTCTTCTGCTGGAAGGTCATCTGGTGTTTTATTTTGGACCCCTACTGGAACCATTCTGTCCAGTTTTTTAATATGTTTTGATACTGTCTGCTGTCTTCGGGACACTCAGTAGTTATTTTCTTCGTTTATTGATTGTAAGTTTGTTTGTTTTGTCTTGCTTTTTTGTTTTATTTGGTTATGGCTGAGCATGTGGGATGGGCGTTCTTTGTTGTTTGATCGTCTGTGGGTATGATACTTCTCACCACCTTGTCCAATGGGCAGTAGCTCAGCTATGGTGCAGCAGGGTAGGTCCAGCAGAAGGGGAAGGTCCAGGTGTTCAGGAGAAGGGCAAAGAAGGAAGGTAGAGGGAGACAAGAAATCAAGAAATGAAAAAAAGAGAGAAAGAAAAGAGAAAAAAATAGATTCCCTGAGGGAGCCCACTGTTGTGATGGCACAGACCAGGAAGTGGCTCCCCAGCCACTCAGCCCTGCGCAGCCCATCTAGAAGGAGCAGAGGTAGCCCACATCACCAGGTGTTCAGGAGAAAAGAAGGGAAAGATGGTAGAGAGAGATAAGAAATCGAGAAAAGAAAAAATCCCCAAGAGAGCCCACTGGCTTGGCGGCATGGACTGGGGAAGTGGCTCCCAAGCCACTAGGCACTGCACAGCCCGTCTAGATGGAGCAGAGATGGAACACAATGCCAAGTATTCAGGATACAGGAAAAGAAGAAAAGTAGAGAGAAACGAGAAACCGAGAAATGAAGAAAAACAGAAAGAAAAGGAAAAAAGAAATGCCCCCAGGGATCCCATCAGCGTGGCGGAGCAGACTCCTGTACTGAGCAGGCTCCTATACTGAGCAGCACAGTCTGTCTAGAAGGTGCAGAGATGGCATGCAGTGCCAGATGTTCAGGAGACAGGAAAAGAAGGAAAGTAGAGAGAGATGAGAAACCAAGAAATGAAGAAAAAGAAAGAAAGAAAAAACGCCCTCAGGGATCCCACTGGCATGGCAGCGTGGCCTGGAGAAGCAGTTCCCCAGCCAAGCAGTGCTTCACAGCCTGTCAAGAAAAAGTGGAGATGGCACATGGAGCCAGGTGTTTGAGAGAAAGGAAGCAAAAAAGGTGAGAGAGAGAAGAAACCAAAAAAAGCCAAAGAAAGAAACACCAGCATCAAAAAAATGGTACTGAAGGAACCAGCCATTGTCAATGGGGTGAATCCAAGTGGCACGGAGCTGGCATCTCCCGGCCAAGTGACCATGGCCTGCTGGGAAGCGTCGGAGGCCAAGCAGGGGGATGAAGGGTAGGGGGTGGGAAAGTGTGTATCACTGGTTACTGGTTTCTCTGTCTCCTGCTGGGAGCTCCGTGAAGCTGCCTTCCCACACTCCGCCCACTGATCTCAGTGGCTAAGGAGTCCAAGATGGCGAATCCAAGCCATGTTAGCTGATAGGGAACCTCCACTCCATCTCTCTCCTTGCTGTCTGTTCTCTGTCAGTTTCTTATTCCATTTGGTGCTTGGTTGAGTTATCTCTTCATTTGATGCTTAGGGTTCCAGGATTGACTTTTCCCTCTGTTTTACTTAGTTTTTTTGGTCTTTGCTGTGGAGGGACAGCGTGTTGCTTCTGTCTGTAGCACCATGTTGTCTCCCACCTCCAAAATACTACTTTTAAATGTAAATAATGGTCAGCTATGCTGCCACTCATGCTGTTTCCTGTGCTGTGAGTAATAAACTATTTAGCTCTGGTCCATTAACTCTTGTCTACCTTTGGCACTCACTAGGTTGTGTCAGCTTTACTCCTTGCCATCTTCATTGAGGTTGGTATTCTTCCCTGAGAGTTTTCCCACTGTATAACATGGGTCTCTATCTTTCTAGCTTCTGTGTAAGGAAATTACTATCAGTCAAATGATGCTGTATGAAAAGAACTTACATATTTGGCAATAACATCCTTGTTTCCAAGTTGAGCAATATCATATAGAATGACAGCACAGCGAGAGTGTAGTTCAGGTTCTTCAGAAACCAGTAGGTTGATCACAGCTGGAATGCCTCCTGCCTCTACCAAAGCATGTACTACAGGTACATGGGTTGAGATATTACTCAGTAACCCAACTGCTTTGCACTGTAATTTTATTTTGGGACATTTTAATAGATTGATTAAGGCAGGAATGGTGCCTATAATGAAGAGACAAAGAAAAAGTATGACTTACTTATGATTTAAATAATGTTTATGGGCATGGCAATATAATTAATTAGCAAATAATTATATGAAATGTAAAATTATGGTTGTATTTTGAAACTATACAAATACGTTTTTCTGTCTTACCTACAGTATAGGCAACTCTCATTGCTTGTACATTTGATTTTCACATAACACACACAATCACACATTTTTTATTGGTAACCCTAAGCCACCTCTGAAACACTGAATTTTGGGTTAAAGCCATTGATAAATACTTTGAACTACCACATGGTAGAGTTGTTTTTATTGTTGTATTAATTTTGTGTGGCATTGCTTCTGCAATTTTTTGAAAATTTTATTCTATTTTAAACTTTTTTTATACAAAGAAGTGGAAAACAGAAAAATAAATTGCTGGATCTTATAGAAGGCAGCATTAGCCTCAGTCGCTCAAAGATGAAAATCATTGGGCATGGTGAAAATAGAAAATCTGGCTTCAGTTGGATGCTTGTTGTACTTAAATCAATTCATTGTGAAAGGATAGAGCACACATGAAATGATGGAAAATATAATTTGTGTAATTCGGGCTTTATTATTTAGCTACAAAAAATGAAACCTCCATAATGATTTGTAAGCCTATGGCTATATATATATTTTTTTTTTTATATTTTATTGTACTTCAGGTAAAGGATTACAGAACAAATAGTTTCTCATGAAACACTAGTACACATGTTGTTTTATGACATTGGTTAACAACCCCACAACATATTAACCCTCTAA